GCCTGGTTTCTCTGGTCTGCTCTCTGCAGAGGCACGGCTCCAGCACCAGCAGGGAGGATTGGGAGTAAAACAGATGGGCTTGTCAGTTATTAATGCTGTGTCTGTTCTAGCCCCTTCGTGTCACTCTTTGTGCCTGTACAAAAGTACTTTTCACACCGACCTTTCTAATTCTCTCTCACCCCTCTCTCACAGGGTCTCACTTTACCCAGGGTATCTTTAAGTTTACTACGTAGCTAAGGATGACCTTGAACTTCTGATCCTCCTGCCTCCACCTGTTAAGGTTACAGGAGTGAGCCACCGCACCCAGTTAACACAGTGCTGTGAACAGAATCCCGGGCTCCATGCATCCTAGGCAAGCCTTCTCTCAACTGAACCACATCCTTGACCTTCCCTTTCTTGTGTTTGTCTCTCAAACTATCAGCTTCTCTCGGGTGAAGCGATGACTCAGTGGATCAAGTGTTTGCTGGCCAGTTGTGAGGACTGGAGTCAGGAGACCCTGAAGCTGAATGAAAGCTGGGCGGGCACAGCGCAGCAGAGTTAATTTCGGCCTCAGAAGGTAGAGACAGGATTACCCAGAGCAAGTGGGCTAGCTAGACTAGCAGTATCAGTGAGCCCAAAGATGCCACTTCAAAGACTGTACAGGAAGAGTCATTGAGGAGGATTCCCGAGGACAACTTTGGGTTGCTATATGGAGCCAAACCCATGAGATCCCCTTCTACACCTACACACAAAAAGAAGAAAATGATAAAAAAAAAACTCATCTCAAACAAATAAATCCAGAAAGAAAGATTGCTAACAAACTCCTTACATTCCAGAATACTAGAATTCTTCAAAGTCAATGTATATTTTACCTCAGAGGCTTTAATTAGTACCATAATTATTTCATTTTGTTGCAAGGAGGGGGCTGCTTGTTTGTCCTGGCTGCACAGAACCAAAATAACCCCACAAAAACTACATTAATTAAAACACTGCTTAGCCCATTAGCTCTAGCTACTTACTGGCTAACTCTTATATTAATTTAACCCATTTCTATATTCTGTATATCGCCACATGGCAGTGACTTACCAGTAAAGATTTGGCATGACTCCATGGTGTCTCTCTTTGACTCCACCCTTCTTCCTCCCAGCATACAGTCTAGCTTTCCCTGCCTAGTTCTGTTCTTCCCTGCCATAGGCTCAAAGCAGTTCTTTATTCACTAACCAATAGAAGCAACACATAGACAGAAGGACCTCCCACACCATTTCCCCTTTTCTGTTTAAACAAAAAGGAAGGCTTTAACTTTAACATAATAAAATTACATATAACAAAACAGACATCAAACAAGAACTACAGTTACAATATTTATACCTACTGTATTTTTTCTCATAACTAAGAAAAACTCTATCTATAACTATCTATCTATTCTTTAACTCCATCAAAGACTCCAGAAGGATATAATATTACCTAAGTAAACAGGAAGTACATTGCAAGCAACTTTCAAAACTCTAGAATTGACAGAGACATCTTGCTACCTGGACAGCCACCCAAAGTTCTTTTGTACCATTGGGGCATCCATCTTTAGCCTACAGCACAATAGTATTGGGCAGACTCTTCCATGAAGCAGGAAATTTCAAAGACAGGTCTACCTATATTTGTAGTTTGCCAGTCACTTTCTTCTGTATTCCGTAGAATACAGACTCTTTCATGAAGCAGGAAACCTGAAGGATCATCTCACCTTTAGGCAAGTTTAGCAGCCATCTCTCTGCAGGTCCTGCATGTTTAGTTAAGCAGTCCAGGCAAGAGTTTCTTGCCCAAATGGCTAAGGAGCCTCTTTGATGCCCATCCTTCTCTCAGAGTATTTGGTGCTGCCAAGAGCAGACATGTCTCATAGACATGAAAAATCCTAAGTTATTAAAACATTTAAAATGCCATATTCTGAAAGTCTCTGAAAGATTTGAAGAATACCTATATAACTGAAATATATCTCTATACATCTAGAAAATCTAACTAACATGACTATAAGCTTGACTATTACAGATGAGTATCTATTAACTTGTATTTCTTAATTATAAATGAGCTACATAAATACAATACCTTAATCGAGATTAGAAACACACACACATTATATATACATATATATATCACAAAATTGTCCTTTTGTATCAATAAACCAAGATCTACACCAATGCAAATTATTCATCTCTATAGTATATCCCCCTTTAAATTATTATAGATAATATTTGGGAATATGGGTGTAGTTCTATACATACTGCTTCCTGCTGTTTGGGGGCACTATTAATCAGGTCTTCATGGTGTATCCTGTGTGCTAGGTTCATCTCAGCCAGCAGCTGGGCGAAGTAATTTTTTGAGGGTGTCTACAGCGACCTTTCAGGAGGCCTTGGTTCATGAAACCATATTCGTCCAGAAGCAATCCACAGGTTCTCATCTTCTATGAAAACAAAAGAAAAACCTCTTTTCCCAAGCAACATGTTCTTAGACCCAAATTCTGAAGTCAAGATACCTTTATAATATACATACTGGTTTAGCTTAGCAGCCCATACAATAAAATGTCTCTCTCTACTTAGCTCCTTCACAGTCAAAAAATTTAAAGACACAATAATATACATAATTCAGACTCTCCTTGTATATTCCGTCTTTATGTATGTGGCTTATTTTTCTTTACTCCTTTTAATCTTTGACTGTCTGTACTCTGTCTCTTTAAAGACTTTTTTTTAATGATTTACTTCTTTTTGGCAGCTCCATGGTGTCTCTCTTTGACTCCACCCTTCTTCCTCCCAGCATACAGCCTAGCTTTCCCTGCCTAGTTCTGTTCTTCTCTGCCATAGGCTAAAAGCAGTTCTTTATTCACTAACCAATAAAAGCAACACATAGACAGAAGGACCTCCCACACCATCATTTGTTATTTTGAGGCAGGGTCTCACTGTGTAGCTCTGGGAGTTCTGGAAGCTGCTATGTAAATCAGGATGGCCTTGAACTCACAGAGATCTGTCTGCTTCTGCTTCTGAGTGTTGGGTTTGAGGGCACGTGCCACCCTGTCTGGCAGTACTACAATTAAAGGATTGTAGGCTGGAAAGATGGTTCATTGCTAAGGTCACTTGGTTGCTCTTCCAGAGAAGCCAGGTTGGAATCCCAGCACCCACCTGGAAGCTCACAGTCTATAACTACAGTTCCAGGGGATCTGATGGCCTCTTCTGGCCTTTGCAGGCACACGGTGCACAGATAGACATGCAAACAAAATGGTGCATGCAGGTAGAACATTCACACACATAAAATAGTATACAAATTAATGAAAATTTAAAGTATATATAACCGAACATTAAATATTATATAACTGTATATATATATATATATATATATATATCTGAACATTAAACAAGAATGACTGGAACTGCAGGCAACACAAGGAACACTAGACTATTTATTAGCCCACAAATGCCTTTTTCTTTCTTTTAAAAATTATGGTAAATATACGTGTTAGGAAATTTACCATTGTAACCAATTTTTTTTTTTTTTTGGTTTTTCGAGACAGGGTTTCTCTGTGGTTTTGGAGCCTGTCCTGGAACTAGCTCTTGTAGACCAGGCTGGTCTTGAACTAACAGAGATCCATCTTCCTCTGCCTCCCGAGTGCTGGGATTAAAGGCGTGAGCCACCACCGCCCGACCATTGTAACCATTTTTAAGAAATACTATATTTGTGTGTGTATGTGTGTGTGTCTGTGCATATATGTGTGCATGTAGGTGTCCATGGAGTCCAGAAGTGGGCATTAGATTCCATGGAGCTGGAGTTTTGAATGTTTGTGAGCTGCCTGATATGGTTGCTGCAGTCTGAACTCTGGTCCTCCGACAGAGAAGTAAGCACTCTTAACTACTGAGCCATCTCTCTAGTCCCCACTGTAGCCATTACACAGATGGGAAGTCACATTTTAGTGTGTGTGTGTGTGTGTGTGTGTGTGTGTGTGCATGTGTGCACATGCATATAACACAGCAGGCTGCAAGGGGTGGGAGGATATATTAATATGCTTTCTAGTACTGTAATAAACCCCATTACCAAAAGCAATACGGGGAGGAAAGGGTTTGTTTGGCTTATACAGCCCCCTGTCTGTCATTGAGGGAAGCCAAGGCAGGCACTCCGGCAGGACAGGAACTGGAGGCAGGAACTGAACTAGAAATTAAGATGAAATCACTGGCTCGTTCCTCCCGGCTTCCTTACCTTGTTTCTTACAACCCAGAGACCACCGGCTCAGGGTTCTCATTTTCTCAATTGAGGTTCCCTCTTCCAGGATAACTGTAGCTTCTGTGCCAGCCTAGAGAGCAACTCGTCGGACTTTAGGTGTGTCCTCCCACGGTGAGGGTATGAGGAATCGAACTCATGCCCTTAGGAGTAGCGGAAGGTGCCTTTACCTGCTTCACCACTTCGCTGGCCTCACTGTAACCATTTTAAGAATATGTGATCTAAAATTACCTGTGACCATGGATGGCCATGGTCCATCTCTTTCCTGTTTTTTTTTAAAAAAGATTTATTTATTTATTTTTATGTGAATGTGTATCTGAGTATATACATGCACAAGTGAGTGCAAATGCCGCGAAGGCCGAAAGACATAGATCCCTTGAAGCCAAAATTATAAGTGGTAGTGAGCCACCTGATATGGGTACTGGAAACCGAACTCAGCGTCCTATAGATGAGCAGCAAGCGCTCTTAACCGCGGAATCATCTTTTCAGCTTTGCTTTTTCTTTCTCGAGACAGAGCCTTGTCAGGGAGCTCAGATCCTGTTTCAGCCTCCTGAGCGCTGGAATACTAACAGGCTAGAGCCGCCACGCCCGACTTTTCCTCTAGTTGTTATCATCGGTTTCACCATTAGAGGGCGCCAGGACGCAACGCAGCGACTCCATTCTCGTACGCACGCGCACTTTACTCGCTAGAAAAGCGGTCGGCGAGGCGGGGCGCGGGGCGGAGTCTGCTGCCTGCGCAGGCGCGGGCTGGCTTTGTGACGTCAGGCCGCGCGGCCGGGCCGGGGATCTAGGTGGTACCTCGCGGAGGCGCTTCCCGAGAGTGACGCGCAGACTCAGCTCCCCCGCGGCCCGCCCTCCCGCCGGCCTCGCCGCGGTCTCCCTCGCTCCCTGAGATCGCTGAGCGCTGAACAGCGGCCCGGGGAGGAGGCCTCGGGCGACGCGGCGCGGAGAGGGAGGGCGGGCGGGCAGTGGGAGCGCCGCGGGTCTCTATATGGCGACGGCTCTGTCGGGTCTGGCTGTCCGGCTGTCGCGCTCGGCCGCCGCCCGCTCCTATGGGGTCTTCTGCAAGGGGCTGACCCGCACGCTGCTCATCTTCTTTGACTTGGCTTGGCGGCTGCGCATCAACTTTCCCTACCTCTACATCGTGGCTTCCATGATGCTCAACGTGCGCCTGCAGGTAGGTGAGCCGCGCCCTCGGCATCCCTGGGTCGCGCGCGGCCCTGCCCACCTGGCTCCGTGGGATGCAGGTGCTAGGGGGCTCGTGCCATCTGCCGGGGGCTGAGCGCGTACCGAGCAGCGTGCATTGCCCCTCTGTAACCCCGCTCTGCATAGACGATGCTTCAGAGAACAGGTCCTACATCTGGGGGTGGGGTCCGAGGAAAGATGACAGGAAGGTCCCTTAGGACGCTTTGTCCTTAAAAATGACAAATTGTTGGCGATCCGGTAGCAGCGAGTTCTTATGTGAATTCTGGTTCCCCAAACTTTGTGAAGCTTTATTCTGTTATCCTTGTACCTTTAGATGGAAAGTTAATGGTGTTTTGACCAATGTATCCGATTTGTTCCGGCCAGGGGTTAGAAGAGGCAGTGGGGATGAAGATGAGAAAATGAGGTGAAACCAATTTAGAGGCCTGAAACAATTTGGAGTAACAAACAGCGTGTGCCTTGTGTCACCATTCTGGAGGCCGTATTTGCTGGGAACGGCTGGCACGTCTCTATCCAATTACAAAACACTTTTCTCTAGCGGAGAGAGGTCCTACCGATTGGAGTGTCCCGTCTCAAGTAAGAGAGAGGCTGGATAGGGAGCTTCCTTGGATTCTGTTTACACATTTTGGAGTGGCACAGGCTGGGTTGGAGAGGACTCAGCTCCACCCCTGGGAAGCATATAATCTGGCAGGGTTGCGTGATTTATTTATTTATTTATTTATTTATTGTGGTTCTGGAGATGAACCCGGTGAGTACTTTGCATTTGCCACTAGGCAAGGAAAACACCCTGGCCGCAGACGGACTGTACATATGTCATTCCCTGGTGTGCAGTGGAGCCCGCTCGAAGTAGTATACCTGGTTTTTCTGTGGTTGGGTCAAATTAGAGTGTAATGGATTTGGTGTATGTATGGTCCCCGACACAGGTGGTTACAGGCCATGTGAGATCCGAAGCCAAGTATGTTATGTTGATCCAAATTCAATAAAACAAGTTAAGGAAAACCAATTTTAAAACTCAGCTCAGAATACCTTTCCTACTTTGTGGTGAGAGGTGTCAGCTGTGCACCAGTGTACCTGGCGATGAGCTGCTGCTGGGATGAGCCCGGGGCTTCCCGCATGCCAGGCAAGCACGCTACCAAATGAGCTGTATTTCTGCTCCCAAATCAGGACATCGCACCTGAACAAGGGCTTGTGGCATCTTTTGTGATCCCAGGCCGCGGGGGCAGAAACAGCAAACTTCCAGAGCAGGTGGCACAGATGAGTGAAGAGTGATGGGTGTGGGAATGGAGATAAACCACAAAGCCTGTGTCCTTGCCAATTACCAACCTGTAGAAACACGGCCCAGGTGTTTCTGCCGGCTCTAGTCACCTCCTCTGAGAGAAGTCAGACATCCTGATGTTAGCTCAGAGTCTGCAAACAGCAGTCCGTGCCTGGCCCATCAAGTTCCCATTTTGGAATCTGGTGTCTAGCATTAGATAGGATTTGTGCTCATTTAGAAACTATGTAATTTAGAAAGCTACATGTTATGTAGTCTTGAATTGCTGTTTTTTTGTACCATTAAAAACAGTCTAGGGATGTAGCTCAGGTGGTAGTGTTTGCCTGGTATGCACAGTGTCCTGATCTTAATCCCCAGTCCTGCATAAACTGGGTGTCATGATCTGTGTCTGTAACCCTAGCATTCGGGAGGTGGAGGCAGGGTGATCTCCGGCTAGGTAGCAAGACCCTATCCCAATAAACAAAACCCAAAACACTTCCTCTCGTATTCAGTTTTCTTCGTACCCTTCTCCAGTCCAGACTGCTCCAGTTGCTGGCCTGGATTTGTGTGTATTCTCCATCTGTTTCCCACCGGTCAGATCTGTCATTTGTGTACATAGTATGATGTGTCTGTGTGTATCCTCTGTATGAGGAGGCCAGAAGAGGTGCTGGCTGTCCTGGAGTGGTAGGTACAGGCAGTTCCGGGCTGTCTGACTCCAGTTCTCTGCAGGAGCGGTACACTCCCTAACAGCTTAGCTATGAGGGCTCCCTAGAGAAGTCTTCTGAACGCAGTAAGGCACATCCTGTCATCCTTAACCATCAGCACAGCACATACGTGCTTATCCTTACCACGTGTGTGCGTGACCGCCCCTCACCCAGCTTGCACCTGGATGACGGACTAGACTTTGTTATGCTCTCCTCTTTACTCGGTTGCAGCCATTCCCTGCCTGCTCTTGGAGAATGGTGAATATCCTCCTCCATAGGGACATTCCTGTCGTCCTTTCAGGGGGAACTTTTGTAACCTTGCATCACAGGAGTGCTGAAGGCTCGTTTGTTTTCTAAGCAGTAAACAACGGCAGATTCCATTCCCAGTGTTTCCTAATGGCGCATCTGTTTGTAGGACAGTGAGATCATCTCTGGAAAGGTGATTCAAATCCATATTTCATCACGGGGAGTGTGCACTATGCAGATTGAAGGCAAGCGCATTTGGGGGAGGGAGACAAGATCTCTAACTGGGGTGATGTGAGCAGTGAGTGAGACCCAGCAGTAGCGAGGGCAGCTCGGTGGGCTCCAGAGGAGGCATGGTCCAGGTGTATCCAGCTCTAGAGAATCTGGGAAACCAGATGTGGGCCCAGGTAGAGGGAAAGACAGTCTCACCGAGTGCTTTGGAAAAGTCATCTTTTCTCCTCTCCTCCCCAACTCCTTTTGAGACAGGCTCTCATACAACCCGGGCCAGTTTGGAACTCTTATGTATCCAGGCGGTGGTGACACACACCTTTAATCCTAGCACTTGGGAGGCAGAGGCAGGCAGATCTCTGTGAGTTCTAAGCCAGCCTGGTCTACAGAGTGAGTTCCAGGACAGCCAGGACTGTTATATAGAAAAACCAAGACCAAACAAAACAAAATAACAAACTTATGTGGACCGACTTGGCCTTAAACTCCAAGAGACCCACTTGCCTCTTCCCCAGGTGCTGGAATTCAAGGTACATACTGCTGCCCAACCATGTAAGGTTGATCTTGGACCTGAAACACAGCCTTTTCATATTTGAGGAGGGAGAGAGAGCGTTCTGGGGCACAGTGCCATTCTTGAGATCTTTATATTGGATGCTTTAGTCTCCCCTGAAGGCTTTAGGACTTTTGTTAGTTTGTGAGAAATCACTAACAGAGCCTAGCTTGAGGGTTTACTGTTCTGACCTGCAGCTAAGAAGAGTGCAGTAAGAACTTGGCCTGACTGAGGGACCCCAGCAGCTCACCGGCTTTCCCTCCATCATAGCGTTCTGTTCTCAGTAAGAACTTAGCCTGACTGAGGGACCCCAGCAGCTCACCGGCTTTCCCTCCATCATAGCGTTCTGTTCTCAGTAAGAACTTAGCCTGACTGAGGGACCCCAGCAGCTCACCGGCTTTCCCTCCATCATAGCGTTCTGTTCTCAGTAAGAACTTAGCCTGACTGAGGGACCCCAGCAGCTCACCGGCTTTCCCTCCATCATAGCGTTCTGTTCTCAGTAAGAACTTAGCCTGACTGAGGGACCCCAGCAGCTCACCGGCTTCCCCTCCATCATAGCGTTCTGTTCTCAGTAAGAACTTAGCCTGACTGAGGGACCCCAGCAGCTCACCGGCTTCCCCTCCATCATAGCGTTCTGTTCTCAGTAAGAACTTAGCCTGACTGAGGGACCCCAGCAGCTCACCGGCTTTCCCTCCATCATAGTGTTCTGTTCTCAGTAAGAATTTAGCCTGACTGAGGGACCCCACCAGCTCACCAGCTTCCCCTCCATCATCGCATTCTAGTCTGTGACAGGGGAACGGGAATGTGGTTAAAACATTGGGCCCTACAGAGTTTTGTTAACCCTACACTTAAATCTCTTGTTCATAGGGCACTGGGGTTTCCCTTACCCCTTTGGCAGTGCTAGGCATGGAACCTAAGGCCCCTTAAGTCTACCACAGAGCTCAGTGGTGAGGCATTTTAGCACATGCTAACAGCTCTTTAGTCTGAGAGGTGATTGAACAAGAAAATAGATGCAGAGGGATTTGTAGACTCAGAAGAGTTATTTAGCAGTTAAGAGCTTTGCTGCGTTTGCAGAGGGCGCGGATTCCATTGCCAACACCCACAGGATGGCCCACAACCATGCGTAACCCCAGTCCCAGCTCTAAGTGCCATGCGTGCTTGTGGTACACAAGCCTGCAGAACACTCATGCACATAAACTAAATCTTTAAAAACTATTTTTACTTATTTTAAAATTTTGAAATGTGGATGTTTGGTCAAAGGAAAGAATGACTCTTGTGGATTATCTTCTGATCATGTACATAGACTCCATACACAAACAAATGTAGCCAAAAAAAGAAAGCGTGAACGCGCTGTTTGCAGACAAGCGTGTACCTGTAATCCCAGCTACCTGTGAGGCTGAGACACGAAGATCACTTGAGTTCAGGAGTTGGGGCCGTGTGAGTGTGTTGCGTGTGTTCGAGCATGAACATGCATGTATGTATGTGTGTGTAGGTCAGTGGTCAACCTTGGGTGTCTGTCCTCAGGTGTGAGCCTCTTGATTTTTTGATACAGGGTCTCTCATTGGCTGTAGGCTCACGAATTTGACTATATTGACAGACCTGGGAGCCTCAGGGATCTTCATGTCTCTAGTAATGCTCCTGTGTCCAGCTCCCCAGTGCTGGGATTATAAGCATGTGACACCATGCTTGGTTTTTTCCTGTGTATTCTGGAGGATGGAACTCCGGTTCTCGTGCTTGCATGGTGAGTACTTGGCTGATTGAACTGTCTCCTTAGCCAGTTTGTGGTCAGTGTGGGCAGCATAGTGACAAGATCCCTGTCCCAAAATAGTAAAGGGATCGGACAGGTGGAGGACTGGAGTTTGGTATCCAGCACTGACTGACACTTGGTGGCTCACAACAGCTTATGGTTCCTGCTTCAGGGGATCTGTTGGCCTCAGAGGGCACTGTACTCTTGTGAGTATACCTGCCACCCCCAGCCATATAATTAAATAAAAGAATAAATCTTAAAAAGTAAAGCCAAGCCGGGCGGTGGTGGCGCACGCCTTTAATCCCAGCACTCGGGAGGCAGAGGCAGGCGGATCTCTGTGAGTTCAATGCCACTCTGGTCTACAGAGTGAGTTCTAGACCAGCCAGTTTCTCTGCCTTAAACGAAGCAAAAACAAAGAAAAGAAAGTGCTGTTTCTAAGCAAAGCTCAATCTTCTGAGGTTATTAATATCCCACCGTTTCATACAGCATGGGAAGACAGATGGTAGAAAGTGAGAGTCTTTGGGAGCAGAGGGAAGTGGATCTCCGTGAATTCTAGGTCAGCCAGGGTTACCCACAGAAGACCCTGCCTCAAAAAACAAAACAACAAAATGAGACTCTATACCCTTCACTACATGTGGTAAAAGCAATCTGGTGGGCCATGGTAGCTTATACCTGTAATTCCTGCACTTGGAAAGTGGAGGCTGGAAGATCAGGAGTTCAAAATCAGCCTGGGCTACATGAGACCTTGCTCCTCCCCAACTGAAATAAAAATTAAAAATAACTAGTATCAAACAAAACAAAAAAACAGGTGGTGGTGGTGGATGCCTTTAATCCTAGCACTCGGTAGACCCAGACAGGTGTATCTCTGACTTTGAAGCCAGCTTGGTCTATAGAACGAGTTTCAGGAGAGCCAAGGACACACAGAGAAATCTTGTCTTGAAAAACAAAACCAATAACAAACCAAGAAACATAACCGGTATCATGAATACCTGCTGGAGCAAGTCCTGCCTATAACTTTTCACTTATGTGGGCTCTGAGAAACATGGATCAAGTGTCTTAGTCTCATGTCACCCAAAGAGAAGGCCTAAAAGAAACAGGGAAAAGATACTGTAAAGGCTGATGATAATCGCCGGACCAAGAGATGTCCTTGTTTCACCCGTACCTTCTCCCTCGCCGCCCTGTGCTCAGCGAGCCTTCGAACCTTTGCCATCTATGCTCTTCATCAATCTCCTCCTCTTCATTTATTTATTTGCGGCAGGGTATCCCTGTGTAGCCCTGGCTGTCAGACCAGGCTGCTCTACAGAAATCTGCCTATCTCTGCCTCACTCATGCTGGGATTAAAGGTGTGCTCCACTACCACCTGGCTCTTTCCCACCTTTTTGTTGTTGTTTTTGGTGTTGTTTTGTTTTTCGAGACAGGGTTTCTTTGTGTAGCTTTGGTGCCTGTCCTGGAACTAGCTCTGTAGACCAGGCTGGTCTCAAACTCACAGAGATCCACCTGCCTCTGCCTCCTGAGTGTTGGAATTAAAGGTGTGCGCCACCACTGCCCGGCTTTCTGTCCCACTTCTTTAGTACTAGGGATTGGACCCATGGCCTCTTGATCATTGAGTTACATCCCTGGCTCCTAGCGCCAGTCTTCTCTTTCTATTACATCTTATTTACTTATTGTGTGTATATATATGCACATGTGTGCACGTGTGTGTGTGCACCCCTGTGCACATGGGATGTCATAATGTGTGTATGGAGGTCAGAGCACAACCTGCAGGAGTCCCTTGTCTCCTACTGTGTGGGTCCTGAGGTCCAAATTCAAGTCAGCAGGCATGGTAGCAAGCACATTTCCCCACTGAGCTATGTCACAGGCCACAGCCTACTCTGTCTCCTCTCTGAACCTCTTTCTAAATCCATAGCTTCATGGGTTTCAGTACCCTCTCACCTCTTGGACATCTTTTCCCCCTTGTATTTAATATGTTTTTGCTTCACCAGACATTGTACCACACACCCAGCATGTAGAGACACTAAGGGAGGACAAATTCACAACAAAGCTAATCCTGCAAGCTGGGCATTGTGGTGCAAGCTTATGATCCCGGCACTTAGGAGCCGGAGGCAGGAGCATCAGGAGTTCAGAGTCAGCCTCAGCCTCAGCTGTGAGTGAATTTGAGACCAGTTTGGGACATGGAAACCCTGTCTCAAAAAATAAATAAATAACATCATACTAGTTGAGTGTATAATTCAGGGACATTAATATCTTTCCATACTGAGCAGTTGTCACACCACCCATTCTCAGAACTTCTCCATCCCATGGAAATCTCTTTTGTCTTCTGAGAGGAAGGTGAGCTGGCTGGCATTCTGAATAAAACAGAGAGGAGCTCATTGAGAAGGGGACACTTTAGCAAAACCTTGGTGAAGGTGAAGGCTGTTGCGGCATTGATGTCTGAGTTGGAGGAGTGCAGCGTGTAGACAGGGCAGAGCTGTCACCAGGACCCACATGTGGGCCAAGCCTGAAATGGCAGAAAGCTGGAGGCTAGAGTAGTGAGCAGGAAGGAAATGGTAGATTTGTGCAAAGTGCATTGGAGCAGCTCCCTTTGTTGCTTTTCCTTGGGGTGTGTGTGTGTGTAGACTAGAGAGGAGAGTAATTTGAATCTGTTCTCTCTTTCTGTAATGTGTGTCCTGGGCATCAAATTCAGGTCATCAGGCTTGGTAGAAAGTGGCTTTTCCTGCTGCGCCTTCTCACTTGGCCCAGCATCTACATTCTTTTTTCCCCTAATGCGTATGTGTGTGTATGTGCTTGTATATGTGTGTTTATATGCCTGTGGAGGCCAGAAAATGGTGACAGATCCCCTGATCTGCAGTTACAGGTGATTGTGACCACCCGGTGTGGGTGCTGGGAACTGAACTTGGGTCCTTTCCAGGAGCAGCAAACACTCTTGACCCCAGAGCCATCTCCCCTCCCTCTTACCTGGATTTTGTATTCTGGAGTCGGTTTCATTTTGCTTAGTTGTTTTGAGACAGCCTCACCAGACTGACCTAGAACTCATTTTGTAACACAGGCTACTGGAATTCCAGATCAGTTTCCTGTCTTCCTGGGTCCTGGGATCCCAAGCTTGTGTCACCACTGCAGCCTCCTTGACTTGTTTCTGTATGTGAACTCATTCTATTTTTGCAAATGTTAAAAGAGATCCATCAAATATGAGGTGATGGGAACAAATCAGCTAAAAGCTGCTGCCGGCAGTGGTGGTGCACACCTTTAATCCCAGCACTTGGGAGGCAAGGCTGGACTATTTCTACGAGTTTGAGGCCAGCCTAGTCTATGGAGCGAGTTCTAGGACAGCCAAGGTTACACTGAGATACCTAGTCTCAAACAAACAAAAAAACAGCAAAAGATCCAAACAAACAAAAACCAAAACTGCTTACTTCTGGGGTTGCATTTGGTGTGTGCTGGACTCTGGGCTCCAGCCCTCTCTTGTCTGTACCTGGGGAGGAAAGAATCAGTTTCTTCACCCCTTGATAGTTTTTTAGGATGCAATAAAATTGAATAAATATGCTATTTCTACATGGAAAAGGATGAATTTGGAGGAGCTGAGTATGCAGCTCTATGGTCAAATGTTAGCTCAGCATGGCCCTGGGGAAGAAAGTCCAAAAGACCACCCACGGAATGGAGGAAAGCAGTTGTTGGTGAATTAATTTGGTAAAGGATTAACACTTAATAGAGAAAGATCTCTTACAATTAGAAAAGAAAAAACAAAAACCAGGTAGCTCAATCCAGTCATTGGAAGAGCTGGTGTAGAGATTTCTTTGAGGAGGTACACAGATGGCCAGTATGTCCTTGAGAAGATCCTGGACTCCAGGAGAAAGCAGATTCACTCAGGAGCAGTGGGAGGTCACTCCACAGCTGTTAGGATGGCTGTTGTCAAGGTGGAAGGCGGAGGAGAGGTCGCAGGAGCAGATGCTGGGGAAGGTGTGTGTCCTCCGTCCTTGCGTGCTAGTCAGGTTGTAAAGTGCTCAGCTGTTGTGAGAGCCTGGTGGTTCTCACACAGGTGAACGTGGACTGAACCCACCGTCTCCTACGTCTGCTTCTGGATATATACCTGAGAGGTTTGAAAACAGGTTCAAAGCCGGGTACTGCAGGGCTGATAAGCGGTAGCCCAAAGGCAGTAGCAACAAGTCCGTGGTTGTGTCCTGGTAGAAAGGACCTTGTCTAGCATGACCTGAACCCTAGGTTCCAACCCCAGCACCATGTCCAACCAATGCAAGATGTCCTAGGCCCGTAGCACCAGTACTCAAGTGGTGGAAGAAAGGGGTAGGAGTCCAAGGTCAGCTTCAGCTACATGGCCTGTTTGAGGTCAGCTGTTCGAGACTCTGAGTCTAAAATAAATAAGTAAATAAATAGGAAAAGGAAAAAAGAATTGATAAGAGCCCTTTTAGATGTCCCCACCTCTAGTGTGAGCATGCCACTTAGATGGCTCCAGTTTCTTCCCCAATGTGCTTTTCCACTGCTGGATCCCACTTGGAGTCTATAATAGTCACCACTCTCCAGAGAACCTGCAGTTGGCTGCTGGACCTTTGGGTTGTTGTCACTATCTGATTATGAGTAATGTTGCTGTGGGTATCTGTGTGTGTGTGTGTGTGGTTGTGTGTGTGCGTGGTTGTTTGTCTGATACGTGCACATGAGTGTGGATGTGTGTGCCCAAGTGCAGATGCGTGCTTCCAAGTGTGCATTGAGAAGCATCTCACTGAACTGGAAGCTCAATGTTTCAGCTGGGGTAACCGCTGGGGATTTTGTTTCTATCCTGGAAATGCTGGGGTTGCAGGTGCTTGTAGAGGGAGCTGCGGGCTGCGTTCCCACCACCCAGCTCCCGGCCGCCTGGCTAGCTTATGCCCCGATATAACAACACACAAATTGTATTCATTTAAACACTGTTTGGCCCATTAGCTCTAGTCTCTTACTGGCTGACTCTCATATCTTGC